CTGGTCCGCAGTTGGCTCGGTGGAAACGTGGCCTGTGGCCGTGATCTCATCTGCTCAGTTGAGATCCCTTTGACTCCGCCCCTTCTGATGGCTTCGGCCTACCCGTATCATTCGGAAGGCCTCTTTGACAGAAACTTCGAGTTGTTGGCTGGGTTGGGTTCTTCTCGTCGGCTGCTCAGCCGTGGATTCTGTGAGCTGATTTAACATGCAGCCCAGCGAGCTTCACGATTCCGCGTTCGTGCAAGAGTTGCGAGGCGAGCTCGTTGCTCCGATCGTTTGCACCCGCTACCCTGCGGGCCCTCCCTCCACGTTCGATTATTTGGTTGTCTAGGCCATCGAGAGGATTGAGGCGCGTTTGGACACAATGCTCGCGCCCCATAGGCCAGTGGACTTGTGCTTCCATCTTCGTCTGGCTGTCCTGACAGCCTTGTCTTTTCGTCGGCCTCCTCCGATACCCTGTGAAGTTGTGCTTGGCCCCCCTCATCTTCCTCAGGTCTGGGCTGGAGTGCAATGTACGGCAAATTTCGCTCAAGCTCAGATTGATGTGGGGAAATTTCAAGGTGCGCTTGGGATGTTGGGGAAGCTGTACCGAGCGTGGGCCGACAGGGCGGAGCGCGAGTTGGTGCCGTTGGCTGGCTTCGCCAGTCAAGTTTGGTGCTCGTAGTTTGGGTCCTCAGTTGGTCTGGCGTCCACCCTTGCGAAAGGCTTGAAGGTTCGATACCCTGGGCACCGTGCCATCTGATGGCTAGGACAGCAGCTTCGGGCTCTTATCCACTCCGCCTGTGCTGACCCTAAGTCAACGTGCTCGGTGCGGCTGGGGTCTGGACCGCTCGAATTACTGTCGGGATCCTTTGAATGGCCTGGCCCACCACGCTTCGGTGCGACACGCCATCCACGTCCCCAGTTTCAAGCGTCAGCGTGCCGAGCTTTCCCGAGACTCCCGCCCCGCGGAGCGGAGCGACACGCGATCCGCTCGCACGGCATAGTCATAGCGTGTCGCCAGGGCCGCCACCGCGACACGCTAAGCAAAAGTTTCTAACCATTAACTTGCCGAGGTGTTTCAGCATGTTCGACATACAGTCGGCCCAGATTAGTAGGTCGACCCTGCCAAATCAAGGGTACCCTTGTGTCCTGTGTCTAGCGACCCATGCTTCCTACATTCCTGTGGCAATGTGGCCCTCGGAAGGGTCTCGTGTCCTCTCGCGTGTCCTGTCCAATCGAGTCCGACTGTATATCCGGAGGCCCGTCCAGCGCACCGTAGGGCCATCCACGACCCTAGCGTGGCATGAGAAGGTGGTCCCGGGGGAGAGGTCGATAGGTTTAGGGGCCAGCGATTCGGAACATAGAGCCGTCGGAGGGTCCATCCTCACGGGTAGCGTTAGGAGCGGATAGGCTCAGGGGGGGGATGTATCGACCCTAGTCGCCCATCGATCGCTGAGCTATAGGAGCCCGATAGCCCACCCCAGCCAGAAACGCGCGGGTTCGCGATCGGGGGCCATCACCGACCTATCGGCGATGTATCGCCGATTCCAGGCTGGTGTTTCCACCCCCCATGGGCCAGTCCCCCCCCCCCCCAAACGTGTCCCCTGAGTTGGTCCTCCTCTAACGTTTCCCCTCATGGCTTCTGTCCCTCGTACACCTGTCGCCACTGGCCCGCAGCGGAGGAGGAGAAGGAGGAGGAGGAGGAGGGGAAGGAGGAGGAAGAGGAAGAGGAGGAGGAGGAGAAGGAGGAGGAGGAGGAGGAGGAGCTCGAGGCTGAGGGGAAGGAAGAAGAAGAAGAAGAAGAAGAAGATAGAGAGGAGCAGGAGGACGCGAGGATTTCTGTCTTGGATGTGCAGCCTGCGATCACAGTGGCGACCAGTCACGCCAGCGGGCTCGCTCCAGCCAGGATGGCCTTGCCGCCCAGAACTGCGAGGACGACAAGCGGCGAGGGTACCCACCTTGCGGCGGCGACCTCGTTTTGGTCGTTTTCGATACCAGCGGGTGTCTAGGCGGCGCGCATCGAGACGCTGCGGTACGATTGGCAGCAGTTCACTTGCCTCCTCCAGGTAGGCAACGCCGAGGCGCTGCTTGCGGCCATCGGCACCTGATGCCTGGCCGTCAGGTAGCTGTGCTGCTCGCGCAGCAAGCTGCCCCACAGCAACACCAGCAGCCGCACTACGAAGGCAAGCGCGGCGAGGGCGGCCAGCGTTGCAGGCGGGCAGACAGCCGCGACCCCACCGACGACGCAACCAGCCTGGGCAACCGCGTCCGCCGCCGACGACGACCACCGACCCCCCACACGACGACCGCCGACCCCCGTTTTCCGTTCCCCCCCCCCCCCTCCGTCCAGCTCTTTTTGTTCTTTTTCGGGCCGGCCGTTTTTGCTTGTGGGTGGCACCTCCTAGAGGGACGGGGCCTCGTCCTCCTGTTCCTCCTCCTCCTCCTCCTCGTCCTTCTCCTCCTCCTCCTCCTCCTCCTTCTCCTCCTCCTCCTTCTCCTCCTCCTCATCATAAGCATCATCCTTCTTATCTTCGTCCTCCTCCTCCTCCTCCTCTTCCTCCTCCTCCGAATCGGAAGGTATGTGTTCCTGCCTTGTTTGCTTCTCACCTTGTCCTTGCCGCTACAGCTTTGGATCGCAAGGATCCTTTTTTTCCACGCCCGTTTGGCGTGGCCAGATTCGCTCTACACGCTATACATCGGTTTACGGGAGAAAAAACAAACAGCTTCACCTTCATACGTCCTCTTATGGTTGGTAGCGGCGCAGGTTCGCCCATGCTCCAATTCCACGTCCGCCATCTCTCCCCTCTCCACGGCGGGCATGGATCCCACCTCCGCCGGTTTACATCGCGGCGTCTGCAGGAGACGTCACTCATCGGTACGTCAGGACTGGACCAGCCAATCAGAAAGAGCACTACGTGGTGCCGCTTTGCATCCCGCTCTACATCCGCCCTCAGCATCATCGATTTCGTGCACTTTTCCCCGCTCGTAGCGGCAGGGGACGTTACTTCGAGGTCCGTCGGGGCATCCGCCCATCCGCCGGGACCAGGGCCGAGAACGTGCACAACCTGTATGATTTCACCATGGACAGCATCATCAATATCTACAAGAACCTATATGATGTTTGGACTGTGTCCAGGCAGCTCGCGGACCCCAAAGTGTCAGTGCCCCCACCCGTGGGGGTGGCCCCAGGGGTTAAGCAGTTGCTCGCCACAGCGTTCACAGATGCGGTGCCGGAACAAGTTCCCAAGTTTTTGGGGACTGGTTCGAAAGGCTTGGTGAGAAGCAAGCAGAGCAGAGGCATCCAGCGATTGTGTCGCCAGTGCCGAGCGGGGATGCTGTTGGGAGAATGGGAACGGCGCTTTCAAACCCCCGATGCAATGCCGTGATGAGCATGACGACTGGGGCGCCATCGCTCCGAGGCACCACACATTGGGACCCGACCTGTCGCTTTACCTACTCAGACCCGCCAGCCGAGCAGGACGGGCTCCCGACGCGCATTCCTCTAGACGATCGTGCACTGGGCGGTGCTCAGTACAGTGACCACACGACGTACGAAGAGCATTCCCGCGATTGTCGCGGGATGTTCCGAGCACCGTGAGCATTCCAGTGACATGGCAAAAAAAGAACCCCAATACGCTGACGAGGAGGAACACATCCGGGGCAAGCATCCTCGGCGACTCACGCAGCGCCGCTTGAGGATCCCCGGCTCCTAGCACTTCTCCAACATGTGGAGGGAGCTACACTCTGGATGGAAGGCAGGCCCTCGGAGTCGGCACGCGTGCCATCTCAAGATACATCGCTTGCATGGACGCAGGTGGTGGCAGCGGCAACGTGCGTCACCTCCGCACCTGGGGGCCCGAGAACCGAACCCGCGTGCTTTTCCAGAAATGGGTGCGTGAGGTGATGATCTGGTCAGTGGCGAACTCCGACCTCAACGAGTTTCGCCAGGCAGCCTACGTCTCGCGCTTGGCGCGTGCGCGCGGGGCACTTGTTTCCACGTGTTTCGGGCCAAGACAGGACCGCATGCGAAGGAAACAACTTGGGGGGAATTCGAAACATATGAAAATACGTGCACGAGCGCGCAGGAGCGGGGGCACATGCGCCTGACAGTTGACAGGCGTCGCCGTTCAGGAGGGGGACGACGATGAAGAAGAGGAAGGTGGAGGCAAGAAAATGATGCGGAGGAGGGGGACAAAGGAGGAGGAAGGAGGAAGAGGAGGAGAAAGAGAAGGGGGAGGGGGGGGAGGAAGAGGGAGGAGGAGGAGGAGGAGGAGGAGGAGGAGGAGGAGGGGAGGAGCAGGAGGAGGAGGACGAGAAGAGGAGGAGAAGGACGAGAGGAGAGAAGGGGGGAGGAGAATGAGGAGGAGAGGAGGACGGTGGGAGGGAGGAGGAGGAGGAAGAGGAGGAGGAGGAGGAGGAGGAGCAGGAGGAGCAGGAGGTGCAGGAGGTGCAGGAGGAGCAGAAGGAGGATGATCAGGAGGAAGAGGATAAGCAGGACGTGCAGGCGGTAGCGCCTGCAGACAAGCAATTGGAAAGTGTCGCACCCTCGTCAGAAGAAATGTTGGCTCGAGTTCCTTACCGGGTACGTGGATCCTTCAAGTTTGCAGGAAGAGGGGAAAGGGGAAGAGAGGGGGGAGGAGGAGGAGGAGGAGGAGGAAGAGGAGGAGGAGGAGGAGGAGGAGGAGGAGGAGGAGGAGGTAGAGGAGGAAGAGGAGGAGGATGAGGAAGAGGAGAAGGAGGAGAAGGAGGAGGAGGAGGACGCGACGGCGCGAGGAGGACGCGAGGATTTCGTACTTGATTTTCTGAGCCTCGTTTCTTTCACCCTGACGCCTTCCTTGTGTTACCCAGAGAATGCGTTTCGCCCCCATGGTTGGGTAATTACGCCCCTGCCTATTCTACCTGTGAAGATCTTGCCCGTCAGCCGAGCAGAACGCTTCGGCACATCTGGAATGGATTTCTACATGCCTACGCCCCGTTTCTCCCACTCCTCGCTCATCATTCTGCAGCCTCCGCGGCAGGAGAGACGGAGACAAAGACCCCGCAAGAGTACAGCCAGCAGAAGGCCTGAGAAACGAGGAAGACAGCAGCCAGAGCGACGGACTGGCCGGCACCGCGCGCCCAGAAGTTGCGGCAGCAGCGCGCGACCTGGCGCTCGAAGCATCCCGCCACCTCCCCCTGGAGAAGCTTGCTGGTCTCGTGCGCAGGCCAGCTGTTTTCGTAGACAGTGTGCGCGTCCACCGCACCGGCTGGCTTGGAGAGTGGCCGGTTCGGTTGCAACAGCCTGAGGTGGCCCAAGAAGGAATATGTTTTGTCAGGTATGCTTGTCACCAGTGTTGATCATGTTGTGGTCAGAGTTGTTCCGAATGTTGCTGCTACTCCTGATGTTGTTGATGCCGCTGCTGCTGCAACGAATGCTGCTGATACACATATGTGTTGCTTCATACTATTGCCACTCATACTGCGACTACTGTTTCTAATACTGGGGATGCTGTTACTACCGCCGCTTCTATTGGCATTGCTGTAATTACTGCTGCCACTGTTGTTTCAGTTATTGTTTATACGATTATCATGTTACGTGTTACTTGCCATGGTTGTTGTTACTGGGGCTGGAGCTACTGTTACTGCTTCTGCTGTTACTGCAGCCACTGCCGCTGGTTCTGCAAATCTTCTTGTTGTTGCTGCTGACACTGCTACTGGACACTACTGGTGCTGCCGCTGACACCGCAACTCCGCACTTATTGCACAAGTGATGCTATGATTTCTGCCGCTACCAGTTCTGCTGCTAGTGTCGCCACCGCTGCAGGTTCCAATGTCAATGTTGATTGTTGCTAGGAGATGTCTCCCAGCCTCACAGGCCGAGGATGTCCACCATGATGGTTTGCTTCGGTTGAGTTTTTCATCAGGAAGTACCTCCTGGAGGTTTCCGTGGGGGTGCCACCCTTGAAGAGGGGTCCTGATCTATGTCCCAGCGTGCCCCCGGGAGGTCAGCATCCGTTCAAAGAATAGGCTCCCGGGAGGCCGGGCGTGGCCTCCCTTGCAGTGCTTTTGGCCTCGATTTTCGGGGCCAGCCCAAATGTGGTACGTATCCAACTTTTTTCTACCAATCCACCAGTCGTGCCTGGCTCCTGCCTCACCTGTTTGACGTTTGCTCCAAAGTGGCCGATCGCACGAGCTACATTTCCAGCATGAAGGTGTTCGAGGAAGTCTCCAGCGGACGGAACTCTCTGGGACGATTCCCAGCCTCATGTCGAACCTAGAAGCCTGACGTAGACGGCCTCTAGCCTCTAACGGGGTGAAGTCCTTCTAGGTTTGGCCGTCCCAGCCGAAGCTCCCGAGGACATGTTCTGGAGACATGTCCGAAAGTGGCCGCCTCTTCTTTACAGCCCTGACCATAAAATGCCCCAATCAGCGGGATCCCTGATGAGGAGGAGCTCCCCCTGCTGCTGTGAGGAGTTCACAGCTACTGCTGTTACATTGCCGTGCTGCGATCGCCTTCTTTTCGTATTCACGATACTGGTCGTAGTATATCTGCTACTGCCGTTGATGCTGCTACTGCCCAGGCGAATGTTGCTCTCGATCCTGTGCTGCAGGTGCCGTTGCTGCCAACAATGGCGCTACTGATACTATCACACGTTCTCAAGACTGCTGCGCAACTTGCTGTTATCTAGAGGCCGCCACCGCGCCTTGGTTGTAGGTCAGAGCCCACCTGGATGCTTGTGGGATCTCTTGGCAGGCCTCTCGGAAGACTCTTGGAGACGGCTTTCAGGTGTCATTGGGGCCTCTAAAGGGCCTCTTGGGGCCTGCTGGCGGTCTCGGAGGTTCCCTTGTGGCGAAATGTTCGACATGTTGGTTTGTGTTCCCCCTTTGGTGCTTGGGGCCTTTGGGTGGCCCTGTTGGGCCGTCTTCGGGGCCTCTTGGGCCGTCTTGAGGCCCTCGTGGGCCATCCTGAGGCGATCCTGGGGGCCTCTGGGACCATCTTGGAGCGTTGGAAGTCCGAAAGGCCAAAACTTCCAAACTCTTCAAAACAAGCAACAGGAATAGTTACGGTTTGGGCCTCTTGGGGTTTTCTCGGAAGGGCTTGTCTGGCCCTTGTGGAACATCTTGAGAGTCTCCTCGGCCGTCGGGAGGCCATCTTCGGCAACTGGGAGCGATCTTTTGGCGACTTGGGGCCCGCTTGGACCGTCTTCGGAGCCTCGTGGGGCCACTTCGGCTCCGAACAAGTCATTCGCCAATACGCGCCAAGCCCCAGGAGTAACGCGACACGCCGTGAAATTTGGGAATGTATGGCCTGGGCCTTGAATATTCATCCAGCCAGAACGGAGGGCTTAAGCGACTTGAGGACACTCCAGATCGTGCCTCTCGGCACGGTGGCGGATTATTGATGTAAATACTACCTCTAGAGCTGCACCTCTTGGTGGTACGGTTGTTGCTATTCATGGACAGGCTGGTTCGATACTTGCAGCTGCTAGGAGTGCCGCTGCTGCTGCACTAGGTGGTTACAGCACAGCTTACTGTACG